TTAAACAGGGACTTCACATGCATATTTTGCACAATATCCTCTTTCCTGCTGGCAGGTTGAAAATTTCTCTTCCTAGTAATTTCTCCAAAGTAACGTTCTCATCTCGAGGCACTTCTATTGTCACATTCCTTGGTCTGAACATACCTACCTAGCTATTAGTAAAGACATGGCTGAATGTGTCTTCATGTGGCAAGGGAGCAGGACCTAGGAGATGATGTTGGTGCAGGACCCCCTCCTCTAAGCTTCTTCACCTCCTGAGGAATCCCCATTGGAAGGTTAGGGATTTGATGCTGAGAGGATGAAAACACTTGAATACCCAACGGGCTGGGGAGATGGCTCAGTAGAATAAGTGCTTGCCTGACAAGCACAAGGGTCTCAGTTCAATCCCCAGTTGTGGGGTGGGGGGGAGAACATCCAATGGCAATTTCAAACAACCATGCTTATTCACAATAGAGTAAGAGACTTCTTTTGGACATTCTTCTTCTGTAGTAATTATATTCCGATGCCAGTAAATCAAATACTCCAAAATCTTATTTATTTACTTATTTGGTACAGGGTCTCACTGGGCACTTCAGACTCACAGTGATCCTCCTGTCTCAGCCTCCCTAGCACTGGGCTTACAAGTGTACACCACGATGCCCAGCTTTAGGGCCAGTACAGCATGCAGTACTGGGGATTGAATCTGCATCCTTGCACTTGCCGGGCAGGCACTTAAGACAACCAAACTATCTCCACAGGCCCCAAATCTTACTTTTATATGACAAAATTTATCAGAGTATATTCAATGTGAATTGTCTACTTTCTCCAGTGCATTCCTTCCCTCCCCATTCGACTTCAGTATGGGCTCCCAGGTGCTCTGTCCCTAATGATTTACATACTCCATTCATCTTTTCAAACTATTTCCACACAACCATATATCCAATGAATATAGTCGGTTCTGTAATAAATCCTAGGCACCTTGAAACTCCTCTCCCTTTCTAAAAGCTGAACTGAACTAAATTTGTATGCTCTGAGGTTAAGTCACACCATTCAACTGAAATAAAATACCTGAAGCTGTGTTACAGGGCCTATGATGACACAGGCATACTTGTTACAGCTAAGCCTAGCCCCAAGCCTAATGCTAACTACTCAGCTCGACATCTGCCAAGTCAAAGTTTCCTCTCTATCCTACTATCTGGGTGATGTGCATAAAATAGTATGACCAGAGTGAGGTAAAAGAAACAAACAAAACCTCAGAGTAGTGTTCACTTTTCTGAACAGCACCAAACCATTCTCCTGATTAAACAGCTTGGGTTAATACAGCATTCCTGGAAACAATTAGGTAAACCTCAGGATCTCTGTGCAACTAAGTGCCAACTTAAAGAAATGGCTCCAGAGATGATGTTTGCATGTGAAAAGGTAAAGGACTTAACAAAACTAAAGGTAACTAAAAACAAAAGAGATGGAAAATGCACAAAAATAAACCCAATTACGCACACACAGTGCTCAGAGTTAGGTTCTGTAAACCCGCACAATGCACATAGCTTGATCTTTATGTCAGGAAACTTCTGTAATAGAAAACTAAATTTATAACAGAACATTAAATGTAACATGCACCTTACTGAATGCAGTACACTGCAAATCCCTGGTTGTTCACCCATCATGTCCTGTTGCTGAGACCAGAGACTCATTCCTGCTATTCCCCACATGAGCAAGCAAGATTTTGTATTACTGCCATGTACCAGTAGTGCAGACACTGAGTAAATTTTAAAATTAAATGTAACGGGCTGGGGAGATGGCTCAGTAGACTAAGTGCTTGCCTGGCAAGTGCAAGGGTCTCAGTTCAATCCCCGGTTCCACCAAAAAAAAAATTTTTTAAATGTAAAAAAAAACCGGGGACTGGCCCTTGCACTTGCCAGGGAAGTGCTTATTCCACTGAGCCATCTCCCTAGCCCCAATGATACAACTTCTGTTCTTTATTTCTAGAGACTTCACTAAAGGCCTCATGGACTTTAGAGCGGTTAGTTTACAGTGGCCATAACCCACCATATTATTTTCATAGTGTAAAAGGGTTTGCTCAGTTATTCAAAGTGGCCTCCATGATTAAATACCAAGTCTCCCAACTGGCTGGCATTGAAGTTGTACACCACCAGGCCTCAGTGATGTTTATTTTACCCAAACTCTGAAATTGGGTAAAACTTGGTGACTTCAGAACCAAAACATTTACCCAGACCTGGTAGTGTAGGACTGAAATCCATCAACTCCAGTAACTGATACAAGAGATTCTCAAGAGAGTTCAAGGACAACCTGGGAACAAAATCTAGACCTGCTCCAAAAAAGAACCACAACCCTATAAATATGTAGCTCATGTCTGTCAACTCAACAGTCAAGGGGGTGACAACAGCACAAAAAGATCTCACCACTTTAGACAACTTAGTAAGACCTGGCCTCACAATGTAAAAAAAAAAAAATCTGTTTATCAATTTTGGGAAGATATATGTACAGGCAAATTTTCTTAGTTCAGTGCCTGAAAAAACATCAAAGAGGCCTTGAAATTTTAGGGCTAAAACAGAAACACCTTCCAATTCTACTTCAGCAGTGGTGTCCACCATATTTTTGAACATCCAATACCAGTGTCCTAATTTCCTATCTTACCTCAAAATTGATTAGGTGAGTTGATCAGGAGACACAGAAGTATTTCTCTATGATTAAGTTTCCCTCTACTCCATAAGCCTGGGAACTTCTTCCTACTGTCACCCAGCAAGCACGCAATCCTTCAAAATTGTCCCACTAAAGCAAGCTCACTTCAGAAATACTTCCTTCTTCTGCCCGCTGATTAGGCCACTTTTACAATTCCTCTGCTCTGCCATTTCCTCTTTAATGCAAACAGGTTCTCCTTACACAAAATCCATTTGTCCTTCTCCTTATATGAATGCATGTCTTCATTATGGGAATAGAGCCCTACTTCAGTAGCTATTCTATACCAAGTCCATCTCAATGCTTCAATTTTCTAGTCCAGGTCTAGACACAACGCCCAAGGACTGCAGCACTTAGGTCTGAGATGACGCCCACGCCCCTCTGCACTCCTGTTCATCACATCTCCACTGCCCTGTAGATCCCCCAGTTCACCCTGGTTCTCAGCACCTTTAGGAAGTTGTTCACTACAGGAACACTTTCCCCTCAACAACTAACACATCATCTCCCGCATATTTCTCAGCATTATAAAGGCTATAGCGGGGGCTGGAGGGATGGCTCAGTGGTCTAAAGCACCTACTTAGAACAAGTTTAGCAAAGCACAAGGACCACAGTTCAATCCCCCAGCACCACATGCCAGCCAACGCCGCCCCCTGGTGGGCTGAACTGGCCACACACACACACACACACAAATAAAAATAAATAAATAAATAAATAAATAAATAAAGTCTATAACGGCCGGGGAGATGGCTCAGTAGAGTAAGTGCTTGCCTGGAAAGTACAAGGTAATGAGTTCAATCCCTGGTACCACAAAAAAAAAAAAAAAACTGAAAAAATTAACTCCATAGCAAGCCACACTTGAGCAGTGAATTGTAATGAACAAGTTAACATTCAAAGCCTCTCCCTGGCAAGTGCAAGACCATGAGCTCAATCCCCTGCAATAAATAAACAAATAAATTTTAAAAATTAAAAGTTTATTTAGTTAGCTTATAAATAAGGCACATTTCTAGGGAAGTGGCTTGAGTAGAGGAAGCGTTTTGTTTTGTTCTGAATTATTTGTTTGGGTAAGAATTAAAATGAGAATGGACAACAACTTTGAAAAGTAGTCAAATTACTCCACCACAAAAAATGCATTTTCTTTATTAGAGTTGCAGCTAATAATTACTAAGCTCCTCAATTTCCAAAACTTTAAAGTACAAATAGCCATTTAATCTCTCTAAAATCGTTTTCCAGGGCCAGGGATACAACTCAGCAGCATATACGCCTGCCTGGCAAGTGGAAGGCTCTGAGTTCTATCCCCGGACGGCAAAATAAATAAATAAATAAAATCAGTTTCCTTTAGACCTGGCATATGGAGGCAATGGGTTCGAGAACCAGGGTTCAACGTGGTTGTTTCGGCTTGGGGTGGCGGCCCAGGACTGTAAAACCAGCACACTGGAGGCTGGAGTAGGAGGATGGCTAAGAGTTTGAGACCAGGCCAGGTTACACAGATAAACACTATCCGAAAAAAGAAGAAGAAGAAAGAAGAAAGAAGAAAGAAGAAGAAGGAGAAGGAGAAGGAGAAGGAGAAGGAGAAGGAGAAGGAGAAGGAGAAGGAGAAGGAGAAGGAGAAG